TGAACATTATCTACAATTCAGGAAGAGAGATATAAGCATTTTAAGTTACCTTCAATAGTAATAGAGGTATGTACAGTTGGACCATCGATCTTAGTTATGCCCTATAGGAGCTAACATATATGGTTTAAGAGAAGGACGAGATATCAGGACCCGACTATGGCTAGAGTAACCTAAAATGATGGATGGATTGTTTGCATTAGCTGACATTTCCAAAGGATATTGCAAATGTGCTAATAGATCTCTTTGTGAGACACCCATATGGTGCACTCTAAAATAGTACAGCTAGATATGAGTACTACAAAGATAGGCACTGGAAGCCTTGAAGGGTCATCGATGATGTAAGAAGACGCCAAAAATGAAGAGGTAAAACATCTATAGGTAGATTGTCGTAGTGCTAAATCTTAGTACTCCCCTAAAGGGGGGAATATTGAATGATGTGGCATTAAGTCAGAATTAAGTGGTTTTAATAATTTTGGAATTGCGAAGGAAGAATGAGATAAAAAAAATGAGAGAAGGGATGAGATTGCACTTATCCAAATCCTACTGATATGCTACGATTCCAGAACATTATGCAAATGCGACGTCAAGGAGAGGAAGTAAGGGTTCATGCCCGGGATGTTATTGATAAATAAGGGGCCAATGCGAGAGGTAGGTTAAGATAAAGAAAATAACCCAAGAAAGATTACACAGGATATTGATATGAGAATGGACCAACGAGTAGTTAGCAACTAATTCAGGAAGAGCCTAGTTACAGCTAAATAAGGGGATACAAACAAATCAATAGATCGTGCAAGATAAACATAGTAAATCCCAACATGGGGAATTCAGTCTCGCAGATATGACATCATAACCTTGAGAAATATTAAGATATGAGTTGGGGTAGTTAAATGTACTGTATGAGTGTTATGGTGATAAAAGAAAGTGCCACTGGGAAGACAATCAAAATATCATCTTAGAAGCTACCCTACGAGCAAAAGGGCATGAAGGTAAGTAAGTGATAGATCTTAAATACTCTTGCCTTATGTTTTGATGAGTTAACAAACTTACTATTAAGAACCAGATAAGGAACCTGATCTACTTGGATTGCTGCATCACTTTAAATGGATTCCAGCTAAAGGTGAAGTGCTACAGCATCAGGAGCTAGGAACCAAAACAAGGACCTGATGCTCTTGTAGTTTCCTCATAGCAGTACAAAGTCATTTGGACACAACTGGAAGTGAAGTGACTGATGGCACTGTTTCTGCCGCACTACATAACACTGTCATCCAAATCCTACTGATATGCTACGATTCCAGAACATTATGCAAATGCGACGTCAAGGAGAGGAAGTAAGGGTTCCTGCCCGGGATGTTATTGATAAATAAGGGGCCAATGCGAGAGGTAAGTTAAGATAAAGAAAATAACCCAAGAAAGATTACACAGAATATTGATATGAGAATGGACCAACGAGTAGTTAACAACTAATTCAGGAAGAGCCTAGTTACAGCTAAATAAGGGGATACAAACAAATCAATAGATCGTGCAAGATAAACATAGTAAATCCCAACATGGGGAATTCAGTCTCGCAGATATGACATCATAACCTTGAGAAATATTAAGATATGAGTTGGGGTAGTTAAATGTACTGTATGAGTGTTATGGTGATAAAAGAAAGTGCCACTGGGAAGACAATCAAAATATCATCTTAGAAGCTACCCTACGAGCAAAAGGGCATGAAGGTAAGTAAGTGATAGATCTTAAATACTCTTGCCTTATGTTTTGATGAGTTAACAAACTTACTATTAAGAACCAAATAAGGAACCTGATCTACTTGGATTGCTGCATCACTTTAAATGGATTCCAGCTAAAGGTGAAGTGCTACATCCTCAGGAGCTAGGAACCAAAACAAGGACCTGATGCTCTTGTAGTTTCCTCATAGCAGTACAAAGTCATTTGGACACAACTGGAAGTGAAGTGACTGATGGCACTGTTTCTGCCGCACTACATAACACTGTCATCCCACTCATTCTCTAACTAAACAAAGTACTCACATCATTTCAAGTGATGTGATCAAGATGTACCCAATGAGCTTTCTATAAAAGACATCACTGGAAGGGTTCTGTTTCTTATTCAAGACTCTTGCAAAAAACAGAGAAATCATCCTCACAAGCTTGAAGAACAAGGTTGAATGCCACTACGGACCAGTTCCTAAAAGATAGATTATCGCTGTCCTAGTTGTGTTGTAACCTTGTTATTGTACTTACTGTATCTCCTAAACCGCTTACCTAGAAGCATTCTAATTAGGAATCCTCTTTTAAATCCGTAAACTCGTTGAGTTTATGTTGTGACTAGATAAGGAAAAGTCTTTGTAATTGTAGAATTACAAAGTGACTTCTGCTGATAGCATCACAAGTTAGAAAAAGCCTTTGTAACTAGGATAGTCACAAAGTGGCTTGTGGTAAAGGTACCACAAGTTAGTTGAGTAAATCCTTTGCAATAGGAATTATTGTAAAGTGGCTTGTAATAGGTAAGATTATAAGTTAGTGAAGTTAAAAGCTTACAGGTGTAGGTTGTGGTTTTTTGATCCCCTTGTGTGGGATTTTTCCACGAAAAAAAATCCTCTACCTCATTTACTTACTGCTTTATTAAGTACTCTTAGTATAATCTTGTAGAGGACTAGGTACTCTACTATTTGGTGGACCCATACAAAATGATAATTGGTATCAGAGCGGGTCCCTCCTATCAGGCTAACACCTAGGAAGGATCCTCATGGCGGCTCCACTAAATTTTGAAGAAGGTCAATCCATATACCGACCCCCCAAGTTTCATGGAAAATGCTATTGGTGGTGGAAAACTAGAATGCATGATTTCATCATGGCTGAGGACTGTGAGCTATGGGATATCATTTGCGATGGTCCTTATGTTCCAATGAAGGTACTAGATGAATTCCCATTTTCAATGGAAAAACTAGCAAAGAATACACTGAACCAGACAAGAAAGCGATGGAAAAGAATTTTTGTGCCAAGAAAATTATAGCATATGGATTGGGACCTAAAGAGTACGATAGAATCTCTACCTGTGACACTGCAAAAGGAAATATGGTAGGCTTTGCAAATAGTTCATGAGGGAACTACACAAGTAAAACAAAATAGCTTTAATACTGGCGATAGTTCCATGATGGCAGTTGATGGCGAGGAGATTGGATATGACTCAACGTTTGCTTTGATGGCTCAATCAGATAATGATGAAGACAATGACAATGAAGAGGTAAACTTCAGGGATGTTCAGAGAAATTTGAAATCCTATTCTCCAAAAAAACTCATGTGTTTAGCTAATGTTTTAATTAATGCCTTTTGTAGTCTTGCGGAGGATAGGGATTCCTTGATCCTAGAACTAGAAGAATCTGAACTTACTAGAAAAGACTTAGTGGCTACAGTTACTGATCAAAAGAAAACCATTGAAATTCTTAAAAAAGAGAAGAGTGATCTATTGGTAGAAATTGCAGACCAAAGGGAAACAATAGTAAAGCCATGGACTAAGTCAAAACCTGAAAGCTCTGAAAGAGGAAAGGAGATAGTTAGTAAGGAATACCTTAGGCTTGAAGATGAGGTGAAAGCTTTGAGATGTAGGATGTGTACTGAAATTGAGAAAAACAAGTTCCTCCAAGCTAATCTAGAAAAAGTAATGAATGATCTTGAAAGGTCTCTAAAGTGGACCTGGTCCTCAGAAGCTACCACTACCTTGCTCACTAATGATAGTGAAAAAGGGCAGGAGCAGGGTTCCAAAGGGAGAAAACTCCTCACTACCCACAGTAAGAGCGTCACTGTCTCTGATAACTGGCCTCGTACCCAATGTGGGAACACTGGGCGCTTTAAGGAAGGTGTCTAGGCCAAGAATCAATCAGTTCAGAAAGACAAAGTGGCTGCTGAAACCGTGACCACAAAAAAGGGACCAGGTTCCACTCACAAAAAATGCACATTACCTGCATGGACTAAGAGATCCCTTATTCATCCTCTTGCTTACTACAAGGGACCCAAACTTATTTGGGTTCCTAAAACTAACTCCTAATATCTTGTGTAGGGGACAGTGAAAGGAAGCAATCAACAATGGTTCATGGATAGTGGATGTTTGAAACACATGACTGGGAACACCACAGACTTTCTTTCACTAAAAGCCCTGCAAGGAGGGAGTGTATCCTTTGGCAACTGTAAAAAAGGGTACATTCTTGGAGTTGAAAAAGTTGGGAAGTCACTCACTCATTCTATTGAAAATGTGTACTATGTCAATAGACTTAAGTACAATCTCCTGAGTGTTTCTCAAAGTTGTGATAAAGGAAACAAGGTGGAATTCTTGTCCGAAATATGTACAGTCACTAACCTTGTGACCGGTGAAATAGTTCTGGTGGCCAAAAGATACAAGAACATCTATGTTGCTGATTTTGAATCTTTACAGAGTGGTGATCTGAGTTGTCTGAAGGCGGTTGACGATGATGCTGAATTATGGCACAAAAGACTAGGCCATGCAAGCTTTTCCCTTTTGAACAAACTAATCAGAAGGACCTGGTCCATGGTCTGCCTATGTCACAATTCAAGATTCAAAAAGTCTGTGATGCCTGTGCTAGAGGAAAACATGTAAAGTCCTACTTTAATTCAAAAAGAGATGTGAGCACCTTAAAGCCGCTTGAGCTCCTGCATATGGATCTGTGTAGGCCTATGAGGGTGCAAAGCAGAGGAGGAAAAAGATACATTTTCGTAATCGTGGATGACTACTCCAGATTCACATAGACGCTATTTCTCAGAACAAAAGATGAAACTATTGAAGTATTTGTGGCCTTTGTGAAGAAAATCCAGGTGAAGATGGAGTCTAGAGTTGTATGCATTAGATCAGATCATGGGACAAAATTTGACAATGTCAAATTTGATGAATTCTGCAATGAAAATGACATCACTCACAACCTCTTAGCTCCCAGAACTCCCCAGCAAAATGGAGAAGTAGAAAGGAAGAGCAGAACTCTGGAAGAAATGGCAAGAACAATGTTGATTGACAGTGGACTTGCAAAGAACTTTTGGACTGAAGCTGTCAACACTGCCATCTACTTAGTGAACAGGTGCATGATCAGATCACTTCTGAACAAGACCCCGTATGAATTGTTGAATGGAAGAAAACCCAAGCTGACTCACCTAAGAACATTTGGATGAAAATGCTATGTTCTCAACAATGGAAAAGATCAGCTTGGTAAGTTCGATGCCAAAAGTGACGAAGGAATATTTCTTGGTTACTCCTCTCAAAGAAAGGCCTACAAGATATATAACAAGCGAACTCAATGTGTTGAGGAAAGTGTTCATGTTATTTTTGATGAATCTCATCCATCATTTGAGAAGAGTGCTGAGGAAGATCAAGATGGAGAACCCTTACTTGTTCCCGGTGAAGTCATTAACATGACAAACGGAAAAGCAGATATGATGAGTCAAGTGAAGGAGCCAAATGAAGACAATGATGTCTCATCATCAACAGAACCAATCACTTCAATTACAACCACTGAAGCTGAAGAAAGAGTGGTTGATGCAGTTCAGGGAACTCCACTGGCACCTGAGAGAAGGACAGAGGAAAATCAGCCAAACATACCTTCCTCCTCTCAGAATGAACCTCAGATGTCCAACTGGAGACATCAAAGCCCTCACCCTATAGACAACATAATCACTCCTCTAGATTCTAGAGTTCAAATAGGTCAAGAGCCAGAAATTCACTTGCCTTCTCATCCTTTCTCTTCCAGCTAGAACCCAAAAACATCACAGAAGCCTTGAAAGATGCAGATTGGATTACAGCCATGCAAGATGAGCTGCATCAATTTGAGAGAAATAGTGTGTGGCACTTGGTACCCAAACCCCCCAAATAGAACCATTATAGGAACCAGGTGGGTATTCAGAAACAAGCTCGAAGAACATGGAATTACCATAAGGAACAAGGCCAGGCTAGTGGTCCAAGGCTACAATTAGGAGGAAGGGATTGACTATGATGAAACGTTTGCTTCAGTGGCTCGCATGGAAGCCATCAAAATTCTAATTGCCTTTGCTTCTCATATGGAATTCACCTTGTTCCAAATGGATGTCAAAAGTGCATTTTTGAATGGACTCCTTAAGGAAGAAGTCTATGTGAAGCAACCCCCAGGGTTTGAATGTCATGAGCACCCTAAATATGTGTTCAAATTGGACAAAGCTCTGTACGGGCTAAAGCAGACTCCTCAAGCTTGGTATGAAAGATTGTCAAAATTCCTCTTAGAAAATAGTTTTAAGAGAGGGAAAATTGACAACACTCTTTTCTTAAAGAAACGAGGAAGGAACCTGCTCATTGTTCAGGCTTATGTTGATGATATCATTTTTGGAGCAACAACTGACTCTCTGTGTGAAGAATTTGCAAAACTTATAGGAAGTGAATTTGAAATGAGCATGATGGAGGAATTAAACTTCTTCCTGGGTCTTCAAGTAAAATAGTCCCCAAAGGGTACTTCCATTTGTCAGCAAAAATACATCAGGGAACTCTTGAAGAGGTTTGACGTAGAATCAAAGGTGATAGACACTCCCATTGTGACTGCCACTCGACTGGACATAGATGAAACTGGATCTCCTGTGAATCAAACAATGTATAGAGGCACCATTAGGTCTCTCCTCTATCTCACTGCCAGTCGACCTGATATTGTTTTCAACATGGGGCTGTGTGTGAGGTTTCCATCAAATTCCAAGGAATCTCACTTGAAGGCTACCAAAAGAATGCTGAGATCTCTCAAAGGAATGCAGGACCTGGTGCTATATTATCCATCAGGTGATAGTTTTAATCTGATTCGGTATGCTGATGCAGACTATGCAGGTTATCTTGTGGACAGAAAAAACACTTCTGGAATGGCTCACTTCTTAGGATCATGTCTTATCTATGGGGTACAAGGAAGCAAAATTCAGTGGCTCTTTCAACAGCTGAAACTAAATATATAGTTGCAGCATCCTACTATGCTCAGCTTCTGTGGATCAAGCAGCAATTGGAGGATTTTAGGGTACTCACTGAGAGTGTGCCCCTTCTATGTTACAACACTAGTGCACTCAACATGGCCAAGAATCCAGTTCAACATAAAAGGACAAAACATATTGATGTGAGGCATCATTTTCTGAAAGATAATGTGGAGAAAGGGTTGATATGTATGAAGTTCTGCAGCACAAAAGATCAAATTGCAGACATTTTCACCAAAGCACTAAGTAGGGAGTAGTTTGAAAGAAATAGAGTAAAGCTGGGACTGTTGAGGCCAAATTAAGAACCTGATTCCTCTTTGGCCGGATCATATCCTTAAGAAATAACTGGCTCAAAGTGTTTTCTGGCCCTGTCTAACTCACTTCAATACCGTTGCAGGTAAACATGCATGATGAGCATAGAAGCGATAGATGTAGTGCATGACTGATAAAAGAGGATTGTTTCTTTTAAAAAAAATAAAAAATCAAGAACCAGGTTCTTGTATTAAAGGTTAGTAGTTTTGTGCATCCTTTTTAATACACGTCTTAAAAAAAGGTACAAAATACAACTACCATGTCATCAACTTTTCAGATCTTGCTGTCACGTCCCTTCAATTCAAATCGTTCCATCTCCATCTGAAACATCGCAATTCTCCACACCCAACCGTTGTTTCAGAACCTGTGCTTATACATATCCCTTCATAATTATCCTCTCTTTTTGAAATACCCTCTCTTCTGCTCTTCCTAACCATAAACCCTACTCTAGATTCACCAAAAAGGGAAGGATTGTCACACTTCTTCTTCCAATGGCTGAGAAAACTTCCGATCTCTCTGCCTCAGCTGTAACTACCTCTGACCCATCTGTGGAACCTCTCATTTTCACTGAGCCTTCGCTACCCTCTATTACTCCTACTGCTGTAGTCACACCTTCCCTAGTCTTCAAATCTCTTCCCAACTCAGAAACCCTTGAAACTGCTGTTCCGTTTTCGCCGTCGTCTATTGTTCCCACTAGTCAAATCCTAAGTGGAGAAAAAGGTCAAAGTACTGAGTTCACAGAAGGTTCAGCCATCATTGCCACCGATTCCATGGTTGTGGAAGCACTGGTTGAAGAATAAAAGGATCTTGTAACTATGTTAGTAGTATCCGCTGATGGGATATTGCATAAAATCACCTCCCAAAAAAATGAGTCTCAAAGTGTGGGGGAAGAGGGGCCATTATGGATGTTGAAGGGGATGCAGTAGCATACACTACTGGGGCATCACATGAGGAACCTGATCCCTCTTCGGAGGACCCAGGTCAGGACTCTCATCCCCAGGGCAGTGCTGTTCCTGCATTCGATGATGTGCCCCTAGAAATTCAAGCACCTGAAATGCGATCTAGTGATGAAGAAGACCTGGACAACGTGACCCTTGATGCATTCATAAGTAAACGAAGGGTTGTCTCCACCCTTGAGTCTGAAATCAAGAGACCTACTACCAGGCTTCAAGTTAAAGTGGCCTACGACTCTGCACTCCAAAAGAGAAAGAAAAGTAGTAAGCAGAAAAGAAGAAAGTTGGTGAAGGATGGTGTACCTGTAAGTGATGAGGCTATCCCTATAGTCGAGGTGGAAGAAGGAACCCATGAGGAACCTGGTTCCCTTGTTAGGCGGTCCTCGAAAAAGGCTGAGCCTATTTTAATGGAGAAAAGGGTCAACATCTAAGTCCAAGATGAAGGAGGTAGTGAGTGATGAAGATTTACTAGTCAAGTCCAAGGGAAATGGCAAAGTCAGTGAAGAAAAGCTTAAGAAACGCAAGTTTGAAACTGCTGAAGAACCTAGTTCTGGGAAGAAGATGGAAAGTGAAGTCTGCCTTGGCTCTGAGCGCCTGAGGTATCAAAAAGTTTTGCTGGGTCGTACGTTTGACCCAACAATCTCTGAGATGGCCAGAATGCGCCAAATTCTGGAAATGGTGGAGTTTCAACAATGGGTGCATCTATTTTACATTGATGCACCTAAAGTGTATGAGGAGGAGGTACAGAGTTTCTTCGCCAGTCTCTTTCTAGTTGATACTGACCATGTCTGTGCTTTGGTCAATGGGGTATATATCGTCTTTGATATGAAATTACTTGGAGAGATCTTGAAATTTCCTACAGTTGGGGTGTCGAGTGTCCGAGATGTTTGTCAGTATAACTTCCGAAATGCAGTGGTGAAAGACAATGCTAATCAGAAAGGGGACCAGATCCATAAGAAAGCACTACTTCCTGTCTACCAGTTGTTGTTTGAGTTGGTTAACAAAGTACTGTTGCCTCGAGCAGAAAGGAGGTCTGTGACTTCAAAATCTGACCTATTCCTAATGGAGCAATTGGACGGTTTTAACCCTGTGAGTCTGCCTGCCATAATGATTGAACACATGCAGAAGGTTGCCAATTTCAAGGACGGTAATCATGGGCTTCCCTATAGATTCTTGCTTACTCCGGTGTTCAAGTTCTTTAAGGTTCTATTAGGAACAGGTAAAGTGGGGACCCGAAAGCAGACATTCTCACAGACAACCTTAGAAGAATGCGAGTGTATTGAGAAGTATGGTGGGTAGGAAGTACATCAAATATGTCTCAGCTCATCAATGCCCAGAACAGTGCAGCTGAGGAAATTCATCGGTTGAAGGCCAGGAATGCTATCCTGGAAGGTCAGCAAGCCCGAGCGGTTCCCATGTTGAATGATGAGGTGGTCCGTTTAACCCAAGAAAATGCTGATCTCAGGGCGCAAGTTGAGAACCTGAAGGATGAACCGCTCAACGAGCAAAAGTCGGGAAATGCCCGAATAGACCTTGTTCTCCAGACACTTGCTACAACTTCCAAGACTTTTCCTCCTAGTGCCCCCTAACAACCCCTTCAGTAACCAGTTTTCTGGATATGTTCTTTTTTTTGTTTCTTTGTTGATGGTTGGTGGATATTTTTTTATGTTTTTTTTATGGTTGGGATGTACTACTACTGCTCCTGTGAACAAGTCCAATGTTGCCTCTTCATTTTTCAAAAGGCAGAGGCATATTAAATCTTTATTAATATGAATCCTCTTTTATTATGTCTAGTACCTTCTCTATGTGTTCTATTCTTTCTCATGATTGTATGCACATATGTGGCATGAGTTAGCTTCGCTGGACTTCTTTGTGTTGTTGTTCTTTTTTATGATACCAAAAGGGGGAGAAATAATATAGGACTAAGAGGGAAACACACTGGGAACTAATTCTTATGCTCTATCACTCTTTACAAAGAAAATAATTTAAGGCTTAGTCTCAGGGGGAACTCTTTGAAACTGGATTTTACTGCCCCAATTCCTACTCATGATTGTTTAAGTTTGTCATCATCAAAAAGTGGGAAATTGATAGATCTTAAATACTCTTGCCTTAGTTGTTTTGCCTAAAGTCCTTCATATGCCAAGAAGGACCCACCTGTAGATAAGTTTGCCATGTAAGATAGGTTTATTGTATCATGTAAGTTTGTCTTGTAATAACCTCCTAGAAATATGTCTCCTACTCTATATAAAACCTTGTCAAAAAAATATGATTACCTCTATGAAGTAGATATCCTGCCCGATGAACAAAAAGTATCCTCCACTGAACTACCCCTCATAAACCCCTACTCAACTTTTGCCAAAAAATCATTTGCACCTTGGACCCAAATTCGTTCCTTAGTCCAACACAGACCAAAAGGAGTTAAAAAATATGTTGCTGCCTCAAAACTTGACCAGCATCCTATTCTTGCCACTCGAGAGGAATAATTTATCACCCTTCAAATCCCAGATGATTTTCCCAGGCAATGGAGAGATCATAGTTTTACCCATATCCATTTTGGTGCTATCCGAATCGTTTTAACATATCACGGAAGAAAAAGGTCAACTTGTTGTAGCTCGACTTTCTCTTCTAGATACAAGATACTTGGAGTACCAACATGCAAATTTGGGTACTGCAGAAGTTACCCTGAATGCTCGGACTGTCTTCATAACTATCTTTCCAAATTTCAACATGTCCTTTATGATCCATACTTAACCGAAGCACTAAAAATCCAAGTCCAAATCCAAGGAGCCCCTCACCCCAAAGATTCCATCCAAGCCACTCTTTATCAACAAATGGCATGGCGAGTCCAAAATCATGTCATGGATCTTTGCCTTCCCGGTGGAGAAAATGCTTTACTCTTAAATATTGATGCTACAAAAGGAAACACCATGTGCACCCAAATACTCAGACAAATTTCCAGAGATGAACTTGTCAAAATTCTTCCTGATTCTTGGATCACAAATTATGAAAAGTTAAGAGAACCGGAGGAATCTCTACAATCTGATGAACCAACTTTTACCAAAAGAAATGACAAAATCGTCTGCATAAGCTTTGACATTCCCATATCAAAAACCCAATAAAACCATCTTTTCTTGCCAAATGATTCAACCCAAAGATACAACAGATACATACCCTGAACCTGATGGAGAATTCTTTTGGAATATACAAAGCATCATGGAAGAACATGACTGGTGTCAAAATTTTGACAGAGAAGGAAAAAGGGCTTGGTGGTTCAAATAGCCATTTACGGGACACTGTCCCTGGGATCTTGATTGCGACTGCCAAGACTGTTTGGAAGATCCAATTGGAGAATATGATGAACACCACCAACATCATTGGGAAAGGTTCGGCCTCAACAAAACCAAACCAAAATCCAAGAAAAAAGGGGAAGACCACTGAAAAATAATTTCGAGCCAAATATGAAAATAATGATCCTTCAATTGGCTCATTAAGCCGTCTAGGTAAATATGAATTTCTTGTTAGTTACAAATCCTAGGAATAGCCAAAATTACCAGAAAAATTCATTCCAAGCTGGGAGGATAGTGAAACCACACCCAAACCCAAATCACCATCAGCTCATACCCCAGAATCCAAAAAGCCACCTGAACCTGAAACTTCACCAACTCAAAAACCACAAATCCCACACAACCACAGAAATTCATGCTACGTCCTTCAAGCTCCAATCATACCCTAGATTTTCCTTCACTCCCAACCTTTTGAAAAGGAGGGTATAAGCCATGCTTCAAAAATTCCCAAGGAAAACATAGTGCTACCTACTGGAGAAAAACCTCCAACAAGTGACATCGAAGCAACAATGAACTGGCAATCAGAAAACTCCATCTGCCAAACCAAGGTATTGAACAACATTGACAACACCATAAAGAACGTGGCCCATACACAAAAGAAAATGATGAGCAAAGTAGAAACAATTGGGAAAAATATGGAGAAAACATCGTCTTACCATGCCAGACTAATCAAAACCTTGTAACTGAGGTTGGGAAATTTACAATACGAGATTTGTCCTCCAGGAAATTCACTTTTCCAATTTTTCCAACAACAACAAAAGGAGATGATTTCTATAAGAGAACAAATTCAACTTTTGAGAAATGACCACTTTGAGCCACAAAAGACCCCGATT